TCACTCGTTTCAGCAGCTCATACGCACAATTGACACTTAGCTGTATTGTCAGTTACAAGCTGAAGCACTAAATACATCCTGACTCTCTCTGGGCTGTTATTTTCAAGGCGATATCTAATGAATTCCCACACCGTCTCACGAAATTCGCGTGTTAGCAGGTGCGTCCGTTCTCTCGCAGTAGCGAATAACTCTGTATGCCGATTACTAATTGAAAGCGTCAGTTGGCAAATGAACTTCCCATGTTTCATCTAACTCGACACTTCAACCGGAGAACCATAGCCTCAGAAGCCGAATACGACTCTAATTGTCCGTTGGCGGCCGAGAGTCAGGCAACTGTCGGCACTGTTCCAGCCCTATTCACGGTGCACTCTACCAAGCCCGACGCGAACGTTCTGTGCCCGTGCTTCCCGTTGATCTGGTATCGATCCGCGAGTGCACCAAAGTGCACCCTCCCCCACGAGAGATACACGGACGGGGGAAGGGGGATTTCCGAGTCGGCGAAAGCGTGAGCAGGAAGGACCGAGAAGAGAGCGGACAAGCTCGACGTGGAACGGGGCACAGGGCCGCCGCTCAATTTATCGCTTTCCTTTCGAATTATAAATGATTATGATTATTATTGCACGCCGAAAGAGAAACAGAAGAAAAAGTTAGAAGCTGCCCGCGGGGAGGAAGAGAAGTTTTTCGACTTCCCTCTCCATCCAGGGTCGATTCAGCTAATCGATTCCAGCGAGTGCAGTGGCGCACTGCACAGAAGCAGTTGAAGAGGGACCTGGTGGTGGGTGGCAGAGGCGAGGGTGAGAGCGAGACGGGGGAAGGTGGGAAGGGGGGAGAGAGGCGTGGAAGATTACGTGCGCAGTTTCTCGTTAAAGCGGCAGCCGTCGCAGTCGTGGCGGCGCAGGACGGGCCGACGACGCCCCAGCGGAGAAACTGGGGCCTCGGGGGGACATCTACGATGACAAGAGAGCATTTGTCTTACTGTCTCGGCCAAGAAATATGGCGCCCTGGGGGAGGGGACGGACCCCTCCGGATGGGTTATGCGTCTCCACTATTGCTCTTTGTTGGGGTTGCCCGGAGCCGCCGATGCCTCGACATTGGACAAAGGGGAGCAGCGAGAAGTCGACTGCGCGGAGGAAGGAGCGTAGGTTTTGTCGGGGGAAAGCTGAAAACGTGGAATTGTGAGTGAGTCGATTTTGGATGGTTTTGGCTGTTTCTGTGCGCCGAGCGGAATGAGACGATCTGCTTCTTGCGCTTCTTTTATGTTTTTTTTTTTTCTTTGTGTGCATTTGGATGAAAAAAAGGGGGGGGGGGGGGGCAGACGGGGGAATGGATGCGTGCGCTGTGTTTCAATAGACTGTGGCCTGCTCCCTCATGTCTTATATTGTTTCTATTTTACGTATTGTACTACTAAAGCATCCTTGAAAAGAAACGAGTGATCCTTTTTTTTTCTAGGCGTCGGTTTTCGGTTTACACAGCCAAGAAACATTTTGAGAGAAATAAACTATATTACCATTCGACGAGACAATACCGATTTTCTTCGTTATACATTTCGCGATATATCGGGGGAACTGAAATGCAACGCCTTTGCTTTAAGTTACACAAAACATATCACGCTGAACTCCTTTTGAAATTAGCGTAGCGTTCTGCATAGCGTAGCGTTGTGCATAGTGAGTTCAGCACATACGTGTACGTAACGCGTTATAAGTAACGAGTTACTTGTACCTAGTCTCTATTTCCGGTAACCAGTAACGTATTTAGTTACTTTTTAAGAATAGGAACGAGTAACAGTATTTAGTTACTTTGAAGGCCAAGTAACGAGTAACGGTATCTCGTTACTTTTGAGGAGTAACGTGTACAATACCGCTTAAACGTCCTTGTGTTTATTCTAGCCTGAGTATGCGTCTATTGTGACAAAGTCAGATGGGCAACCCGAAAAACAGCTAAACAGTCTGAGAGTACAGCAAAGTACATCGCTGAACACGTCAGTCGAACAGTTCGACTGACTTGTCCAGCGATAAACGTTGCTGTACTGAACTCTACAGCTGGTAATGTCCTTCACTCAGCGAGCACAATCAGGTTCGTTGGTTGACCCTTCTAGAAACGGGTACGGACCAATGTAAACCCGGAGGTTGCAAACACGGGAAGGCACACACCCATTACCCGCTGTCCTCAATCAAGGCGCAGTTCTCAAAGATTCACCAGCTCTTCCTGAAGCAAAACACTGCCGTTCCTTCCAGCGCGTCGGTAGAACGACTCTTCAGCGTCGCCGGAGATGTACTTTCAAGGAAGCGGGAAAACATAACTGATGAAAACGTCTACTGGCAGCTGCTGCTTAAGGGCAATGACTACTAAAAAGAAAACAATAAACCATGAAACAAAAACAGTTGTGTATTTGGTCGTCAAAGTAACGTGGAAAGTAACTCGTTACTTTTGAGGTAACTCACGCGTTCCTTTTGAGAATCGGTAACGAGTAACGTATTTAGTTACTTTTTGAGCGAGTAACGAGTAACTGCATTTAGTTACTTTTTGGGGTAACGTGTACATGTCTGGTTCAGCAGCACCATGCGACCCAAACAGAAGCGCGTGTATATCAATTTATCATGATTGGGTCTTTGGAAAGTAAAGTGACATCAAAAGACGCTCGACGATTTCATTAGAAACTGGAACTAAGTTCACAATCCCTTTTAGATTTCCCCCCTCCGCCTCCCCCTCCCCCTTCACCCTTTTCACGTAGACAGGGAGACACACACAAAAACCGAACGTACGTATGCAAGACCGAACTGCTCAACTTCCAAATCTTCGAAGTGCACGCGCGCGCTGTCGTCCCCGCCTCCTGGCCGGGCAAGTTCTTCCGAGTTCTCCTTCCCTCGCGCCCCCAAGTGCAAATCCGGCGCAACTCGCGGGCATTTTCACATGCAAATGTGCCTTCATTACCAATACGCTCTCGGGGGTTTCTCCCGTCTTCGACGCGCGACGCAAAGTCAGCTCCGCGCCACCGCTTCGTACAAGACTCGAACCCCGCCGGCGTGGAACTCGACTTGCCCCGGGGAGAAAACGCAATTCCGAGATTACTTTGGGGGAACGTTTTAGACTGGGCGCGCTTAGCAAACAGGAGCACTCTTCAATGGGCCCTCCTTAGTCCGTGACTCGGGGAATACAAATGGCTCGGCGTGGCATAACAAACGAGGAGGGGATTCGCCCCCGTTTGTGTTTCCTTTGAATGGTTTGCTTGTTTTTGTTCTGTTTAGTTTTGTTCCCAGCCCCATGCCCTTTCGTTCGACCGCACTGAGCGTGAATGGCGGGTGTGGGTGTTTGTCCGAACTGGTTGAGAATCCCAGCTCCGCATTAATATTCAGAAACAGAGCTTGTGCGACGCCGTGATTTTGAATAAACGCGAACGACGCCTCCAGAAAGGAGTTGGAGAGGGAGCGACTGGCTTTGAGGTTTGCGCAAAATTGTTGTACTTGTTGGATGCTTTATTTACTATTCGCAGCGGGGGTCTTGGAAAGGGGGGGGGGGGGGGGGGGGGAGGAATTGAAGAGACAACTGACCGGCTCAAGTTATCAGCTGAAAGATTGTACGCTGATCAAATTTATTTCATGTAAAGAGCGCTTTTTTTATACTCAGACAGAGAACAAGCTTACGTATTTAGACTATTTCGCCCCCAATTTGCGGCTTCTCAAGAATTTCGCGTGATTCGTTCAAATAGTGGCCGTTGCTTTGTGTGTTTGCCAAATCTCTTCAGAATGAATTTAAAATTTACCCTTAACTTATTTGCTGGCGTTATCCAGCCTTTGTATCACCGGTTTTTATAAACCCGTTTGCTTAGACCGTCAAGTCTGTGCGGAGAGTGTGGTCAATTACATAAACCTAATATCTTTTTAAAGTGAAATTTCGTATTATTGCTGTGCATAAAGTCATTACTAGACGGCAAGGTGCACAAGTCGGTGGAAAAATATTTTAAAAGCGAGAACAGTTGCCCAACATGTAGGGTAGCTGGACTTCTTTATTGCCATACCGAATTTGATGATACGACGTGTACAAAACGTTCGGACGCTTAGTGTCAACACAGAAAACCGTTAGTTATTCCTTCTCTCCTAAACAAAGGTCATTAAAAGCGTGTCAGCGTTTCGCATACGAATGATAAAGTCAGAACGTTGCATGACCTATTAAAGTTCGCTTGCATGGTTAACTAAACAACGAAACAAATCGCAAGCATCTAAGAGATATAAAGCTTTCATCAAGAGCGAACACATGAGTACAAATATACGAGGGCGCACACAATTAACCTAGAATTGAATGTAAAAAATGGCATGTTCTCATCACCAGAGCAGGCTGGATACTTCAAATAAATTTATAATGAACCCCTATTGCGTTTGTCCATCATACTCATTGCAAGGGATGAGCTCGTCCGTTTGCTCCTGAGTGCATATTAAGTTAGTAACTCCAGAATGGGAATAGAAATGAAGAAAACCACCTCCTTTCTCATTGCATACGATGTGTAAAAGACACACACAAAAAGTTGTAAACATGGTAGCCTATCTACTTTCGGATATGTCGTGTCAAGACCCGAAATAATAAATGCAGACCTCTGAGAACGAAAGCTACGGGCTCTGTCACCAGAGCTCTGGCAAACTCGACACAAAGGCTATCGCGCCCCACCCTGAAGCCACATATCCATACATCGCCCACCAGAACAACGCCCAACACGCCCCTGCCGTTGACAAGTGACGCCAACGATATCCAAACCTATATACAGGCACCGGCAAACAGAAGCGCGCGTACCTCTTTTGTGTAAGGGAAGCCACGCTCACGTCCAACACACGCGCACGTGGGCCTAACTGAGACTTTACCGCAAAATTGTGTTTGCAAGGAGAGAACGCGAGGAAGCCCCTCACTCCTTCATATTTTATGTTTGGATTTGTTGAAGCGTAGGATATACCTATAAGCACACTCCCGTCTTTTTTTTTTTTTTTTATTCCGTTATTTTTCTGTTACCGCTTCTTTGCTTCGCGAATTCCCTTGGTGTTGGGCAACAGCTGCCTTGAACGAGGCTCGAGCAGACGTGGTTCCGAAGAACAATTCAAAATGGCGTCTCATTTCTCTCTCCCTGATGTGTTGTAGGGTTCCACACTATGGCGGAAAACCGCCCACACGGGCGCACGCTGTGAAGAAGCCGGTCCCAGCTCTTGCGGCGTTTCTTTCAAGAGTGGCGTGTTGCCCTGTGTGCGGGAGAAGGGAAAACGTCTTACTTTAGAAAACGTCTTACTCGTAGTGATGAAGACAGCAAAAACAAGCAAAATGAATGCGTTGACTCCTTCTCGAGGCGAAAGTCTTGTCTTATGCCTTCGCCGGTCGTTTCCATTTTTCTAACTATTTCGTTGCCGTTGCAGCATGCGTCCCTTTGTTTTATAGTAGTTTCATCCAGCTCAGTTTGTCCCTTCACTACAAATTTCCCATGTCAAGATCCTTTCTTTTATTACATCAAGCACTTTTCCTTTAAAAATTATTATTTGGCTAAGTAATTTTTAATCACTTTAAAGCATTTGACCCTACCCAATTTCGCACCAAAAAACAAAACAAAAAAATATAATTTTTTCATGAAGTTTCTTTTTCGAATGTCGAAAAGTTATACGGAGAACAATATTAGTAAAAAAACAGTATTTCACAGAGCACTGCAGGATTTCAAATGTTGGTGCAAGCACCCTTTCCGTGTTTTATGAACTCTCAATGAAGAAACACGTCTTTTTTTTTTTTATTTCTCATAAAATGACTTCCTCACAGAAAGTTAAGGCGCTCTTTCGATATACCGTCCAAACGACCCGTACGCGGAATGCATGGCGATATTCACCCCGTGATTTTGAACTACTTTCAGGGCTTCGTATCACGACCACCAAGCGCTCTAAATATCTGGTTCACTCGAAAAGGCTAACAGGCGAACCTTCTGCCCCAGATTTCTGTTCTAGCCGCTAGGTGCCGTCGATTTTGCTGGAGTCTCCAAATCTGGGCAGCGTTACACTGTTATGTCGTTGTGTCAGGTCATGCTGTCATGACATCAAGTCCCGAGGCAGCGTTACATGACACCATGACGTTATGTATCGTCAAGCCACGAGGTCTTTTGACGATACTCATCGGTTCCGTCACGTCACTTGGCATATTCACCCGACTTGAGGTCACGGCGTCAAAGTCGTATATGGTGACGTCAAGTCATGACACGCTGTCAGGTGGCGCTGTGACGTCAAACAACGAGGTCCCCTTACATGAGGCCACGTTACATCACGACCTGACACCCAACCTTAGAGAATCTAACAATTATGTTGACGCCATGACGTTAAATTTAAATAAAAACAGACAAGCATTTCACCGCGAGCTAGCAGACACCGAGACTTCACGTGGCAATACAATGTGACACCACGATGCTACGCCACCTCACCTGTCCTGGCCTGAACGCGTGACATGGTCAAGTGACCTAGAGTTGCACCAGACACGTAACCCCCTGACTCGTTTTGGCATCAACCACGTGACCATGTGACCCAAGTGAAGAAGGCAGGAGTTAGCCCACTACATTTAGCGGAATGTTATCCCTCGAAATTTAGCCAAGATCTGTACAGTACGGCTATAATTAACGGCTACGCTAACCGCTACGACAGCCAATACGCAACGAAAATCTTGGTTTTGCTTCCATTAAAGCCCATTCTGCTTTAAAAAGGCGGAGTACGTGTCTCGGTTTATCGAAACCAAATTTGCTGCCCGTCCTCAGCGAAAGCACATATGCATTCTTACACTTTGCCGTCTTACATTAGGACACTCTTACATTTTTCCGGTGGCATAAGAAATGTATGGAGGCAGTGTCAGCGTTAAAGAGGCAGAGAAAAATTTGACGAAGTGCATTAAATAACTTGAATACGTTCGCAAACCCTTTTGCTATGCAAATGCAGAATGAACTCACGTGCTGGTCTAGTTTTTCATACCTTGCTTTGCAGTTTTATTAAATATCCTGAAGAAATAATTTTATAAAAATGCATATCTTTTCGCATGGTGAGCACCTAAAGCGAAAACCAGTTGTATAAGTAAAAATGTTGCCAATTAGTTCATATTCTTTAAAAAAAAGTCTCTACGTTTATTGTCATAGCTGGGCCACTATAATACTCTTCTTAACGTTTAGAAGACTTATTGTCATATTTCTATAACGTTATTTCCTAAAACCTCTCATTTTTACTTTGCAGATAGATGTAAACATTTTATTTTTAAACTTTAGCATGAATCTAGTATAACACCTGTATTATTCACATTTAATCAGAAACTGCCGGGTCACTATATAGAATAGCTCTCTATGTAGCAGTCAGGTGTTTAGATGGCTGAAAAGATCTATATGAGACTGCGTGGAGAAATTTCGCGTGACCAAAGCAGAAACGACATTTCAATCTAAGCTTGAAGCGATATTTTATAACAAACTAACTCCTTCATGAAAGCTTCAATTTACAATTTTTCTGGCAGACTACACTCATATGACGGCATAATTCCTCACATTTCCCATACGCGAGCTTGGGGGCCTCTGTTTTTTTTATAAAAAGAATAATAAGAAAAGGGAGGATATAGTAACATTAAAGACAACGTGTTTTTTTGTGTTACTACAAATCAGCCACTTCTGATTGCCTCTATGGTCTCGGCTAGAACGTCAACCCAATATTTCTTTTCCTCACAAAGGAAAATAAGCGAATTCACAAAGTACTCAGGCTAGCGGTCCCAATTTTAATCTTCAGCTTTCACTCAATTCTGGACTTCCTTCCACCCAAAGTCCTTCATCCAAAATCCCTTCATATCGGCCGGCCCTGATTAGAGCGGCCCCATTGTCCATTTATTCCAAACTCGCTTCATATTTACGTATATCTTTTTTTTTTTTTTTCATCGCGCTTATTCAGTTGCATTTGTATTTTGCTTTCTTTGTTTGTCCTTTTCATTTCCAGAACCTTCCGAAAAGTTTCTCAAGACGTGAGCGAGCCTTACTGAAGCTATGGCCTCCCCACTGAGTGCACACGACAAAGAGAGGGAAAGAAAGAGAAAGAGCAAACGAAACGTAGGGTCGCTCAGCGGGAAGCTATAGAAGAACCTAGGGAAGTTAAGGGGAAAAAAACAAAAAACGAAACTGCCAACGAAAGCCTAAGAAGCAAAAGAGAAATTCGGCACAAGCAGTTCCGAAGACATTTCCCAAAGCCCATCTCGAGATAAGGTGCAGGAAGTAGGATATGAGACCGAGGAGGGGGGAAGGCAAACGCGTCGAGTCGTTGGGGGAGAAGGCAGCTTAGCTCCTTTTTCCTTTTGCTTAATTAAGGGAAACGACAAAAGGGGGTCTCTCTCTGGAGCCCCAGAGAGAAAAGGAAAGCGGCGGCAAAGGAAGAAGCAGCCTCGATCCGTCCTCCAGGAATTCCGAAGGATTTCGCAGCGGAGTTCCTCCCACATGCAAGCGGGGCTTTGCTCTTGTCGTTTTGCTCGGCCCCTTGGAAGAGCTGCGCCGCTTCCCTCGAGCTCTCGCCGCATGCCCGTCGCTGCGTCTGCAGCCCAATAGACGTGCCGAGGAGTTTGGGGAAAGCTTCGGAAGCACTTTCGCAAGACCTCTGCAGCAAGGAAAAGTTCCGTTCGGTTATCTCGCTCGTCGAGTAATTTCCTACGCTCCTGCGCGATTGGTTTTACTTGCATAGCTTCGAAGATCTGAAGATGATTGCGACTGTCGGAACAATTGTTTCTGCGCTTCTGATGTGACGTCAAGCTTCCCTGGGGAACCCAGACACAAAAAAAACAATGAACGTGCCGAGGGGACTTCAGCTGTCTTCAGGCACTGCGACTACGACATAACGCTTCATTCAGCTGTAAAATTAAGATAGCTACTTTCAAATGCAAAGTTCAAACAAGCATTTCGCAACATTGTGCCTCTGCGGAAGTGATAATTTTTCTCGCTCACAACCTGCGAGCATGAGTTGCGCTTCAGAGAAGTATGGTGTTTTCTTATAAACGTCTTGGTCCTGAGGCACTACAACAGCAAGGTTATAAAAATCGAGTCACTCGAACGGGCATTATTGAATTCAGTTAAGCATCAACCATGAGTAAAACATTCAAATCGTGGTCTTGTATAACTAATATTTTTTCGATGATTTCGACATTTTTCTACGATGTTGTGATATCAATTATGAAAGGCTTTTTTTCTTCTAGGGTTCTACTGTATTGTCTTAAAGACTGCGAACCGCATGTTAGCATAAATGGACATACACACTTTTCTGGTTTTATTTTTGTGCGGCTAAGTGGGCTATTCTTCATTTAGCACATAACAGTCGGCATTAAGATCAATAGTGAAGTCAATATTTCATTGACCGGCTTGTCGTGTTAAATTGATTTATTTTGTTTTCCAGGGTGCATCCACCATATCGTGCTTTTTCACCTGATGCGAAAGTGAATGCCAAAAAAAAACATTCGGCAAATAAATCCCCAGATGTAGCGCTATATGAAACACCGCACTCGGAAACCACATCGTTCAAAAAAACAGGCGTAATTTATATTTTAACACGGAAGCTTCACATTTTACGCAAGATCATGACAGAGTCACGCAAGGATCTACCAGCAGAAAGCACACCTCATTGACTTCTTAAGTTAGCACTTTCTAATTTGATAAATTAGAGAAGACGTCAGCGCTGAGAGAAAAAAGGTAATACAAACTGAGCCGGAGACGTTTATAAAAAAGCGTGTAAAAAGACGTCACCGCTTTGCATCCCCGTCGTAGTGACGAGCGCTTTGGGAAAGAGCCACATGTTAATACAAAGAACACTCTCTGGACAAGCTACTTCGCACTCTGGGAACAAAATTATGATGCACCTTACATTGCTCCCAAACGCGTAGACAAGCGACAAGAGGGGAGGCTCGTTGAGACGAGCGAGTGGAAGCTGGACAGTTTTGCTGCGACTATTCCCGAGCACCGGCGGGCCAAGAGGGCCGCCTCGGGTCAAACGGACTCCTCGCGATCGGGACGGCTGAAGTGCGCGTCACTAAAGACGGACAAGGAGAGGGACTGTCAGGGAGATAGCGTTTCGACCCCAGACCCCGGAGGACCGGGTGCCAGGAAGTCAGACCTAGCGCAGGGGGACCATCGGGACGGGGAAGCAAAGTGACGACTCCGGCTCAATAAAGGCAACAAATCACACCGACTTGAACAGGCTCTGTCATTGGACAAAGC